ATCATCAGGTTCTGTATATGTTCAACAAACTAATAACATGGAACTTAACACTTGAAAGAATATAATGATAAAATTCCAATCAAAATTAAAATATCAGAGATTAATACAAAATGGTGTTACTTTTTAAAATATACTGTTTTCGATGGTAGACAATACAGATTTTTCTTCATTTTTTACTTCCCGAGCGTAAGCAAAGGAAGTATTGTAATCGAGTCCGTCGGCCGACTCTCTACTTTTACGTTTTCTCGATCTTTCATGACCCCTAGAAGACGAAGAAATAGGTCTCCCATTTCCGTCTGTCTGTCCGTCCGTCTGTCCGTCCGTCTGTTGTCCCGGATTTTTATTAGACAGATAATCTCCGAAAGTACTCGACCGATTGTTGTGAAATTTTGTACTTATATTAAGAATATCATGTAAATGGTAAAACGCTAACCTAAAATTTGTCCAATCATCCCCACCACTAATGCGATGGCGTCACTTCAAAATTGTACATAGTAAATGGGTTTTCAATTGTATAAAATAACATAGTCCTACACATGTAGTTTACAACTCTGAATCGACTTTTCACCCGAAACGTCCAGATTTTTGGAAAAAAAATCAAAATTATAAAACAATATTTTGAAATTTAATTTTTAATCTGCTAACCAGAATGCTTTGAAATGTTGCAGATGTTTTAAGGCTATAAAGAGCATCATAAATCTTTAGTCAAAAAATATTTGCTTATCCCCTCCAAAAACTTGATGACGTCAGCTCAAAAGTTTGTGGAATAAATCATATCTAAAATGTACAAAATATGATGAGCCTGTACTTGTGATCTATCACTCCATTCATATTTTTTGGATTTGCATATACAGGGTGACTCAAAAAAATTAATGAATGCGTAAATATATTTTATTGATTTAATCAGGAACTACAAAACCGAATGCTCTGAAATCTTGCAGATATTTAAGGTCATAAAGAGCATAATAAATGTTTAGTCAAAATATATTTGCTTATCCCCTCCAAAAACTTGATGACGTCAGCTCGAAAGTTTGCCGAATAAATCATATCTAAAATGTACAAAATATGATGAGCCTGTACTTGTCATTTATCACTCCATTAATATTTTTTGGATTTGCATATACAGAGTGACTCAAAAAAATTAATGAATGCGTAAATATATTTTATTGATTTAATCAGGAACTACAAAACGGAATGCTCTGACACCTTGCAGATGTTTTAAGGTTATAAAGGGCATAATAAATGTTTAGTCAAAATATATTTGCTTATCCCCTCCAAGAACTTGATGACGTCAGCTCGAAAATTTGCCGAATAAATCATATCTAAAATGTACAAAATATGATCAGTCTGTACTTGTGATCTATCACTCCAATCATATTTTTTGGATTTGCATATACAGGGTGATTCAAGAAAATAAATGAAAGCGTAAATTTATTTTACTGATTTACTCAGGAACTACAAAACCGAATGCTTCGAAATCTTGAAGACATTTTAAAATTATCATAAGCATGGTAAATTTTTGATCAAAACGTATTTGGTCGTCCCCCCTAAAAAATTTATGATGTCACCACAAAATTTTGCTGAAAAAATCCTATCTAAAATGTACAAAATATGGTGAGTCTTTTCTTGTGATTTATCATTCCATTCAAATTTTTTCGATTTGCATATACAGGGTGACTCAAAAAAATTAATGAATGCGTAAATTTATTTTATTGATTTAATCAGGAACTACAAAACCGAATGCTTTGAAATCTTGCAGATGTTTGAAGGTTATAAAGAGCATAATAAATTTTTAGTCAAAATATATTTGGTTATCTTCTACAAAAACTGATGACGTCAGCTCAAAAGTTTGCCGAATAAATCGTATCTAAAATGTACAAAATATGATGAGTCTGTACTTGTGATTTATCATTCCATTCATATTTTTGGATTTGCATATGCAGGGTGACTCAAAAAAATTAATGAAGGCGTGAATTTATTTTATCGATTTAATCAGGAATTAGAAAACCGAATGCTTTGAAATCTTGGGAATATTTTAAAGTTATTTTAAGCATGGTAAACTTTTGTTCAAAATGTATTTGTTCATCCCTCCTAAAAAAATTGATGACGTCACCCTTAAATTTTGCTGAATAAATCCTATCTAAAATGCAAAAAATATGATGAGTTTGTACTTGTGATTTATCATTCCATTCATATTTTTTAGATTTTCTTAAGAGGTGGTTCAAAAAAATTAATGAAGTCAATTTATTTTGTTGATTAAATTAAAGGCAACACTTATTATTAGTATTACACCCCAACCAACCCAATTTGGTAGACACAAAATTTGTTAAAGGAAAAACTCGGTTGAAACATAAGGGTAGCACGCTTATTTACATCGACTTTAACATTACAGACCTGCATTTGTTTTATGCGTTCACTTGATTCCGCGAATGTGAAATAGACATGTTTATAATCAACCAATTGTGAATTTCACCGTCAAGAATTAAAATAAAACCCAATGTTTTATATAATAAGCGGAAGTCGAAGCAATAAAACCGACGGTCGTTTTGTTTACAGTTTTTCTGTTTGGCTCTCACGTATGCTGTTACGCCTGTCATCTTAAATTAAGAATGTTTATACATACACGATTTTCAGTTGCCTCTGATACGTAGGTATACGTGAGTAAATTGTTTCGTTATTTTATTGATTATTACAAATCAATATTCAAACGACCCAATTCATTTTCCCGAAAATTTGAGAATATAATAATTTTATTCTTAGTATTACACTACATCTATCCCAACTGATATACGTGTCCTTGCAAAAATGTTGATGACGTCATCGCAATTTTTTTTTAAATTCCCACTACAAAAATGTAATGAGAAAAAAAACACAATAGGCATGCAGTCGTCAAGTTTCCGACAGCGAGGGAAGTACTGTCTAAACTCTTTAGACCAATTTTTTTTGTTTTATGTTGATTTTAGCTAAAAATCAATTTTACAAAAAGACGCTTTCAAGTAATTTCAAAAAATATTTGAAAAAGAATGCAAAAGGTAAAACAATTATTTACTTATTTACGTTTAGTTCAGTAATTATAAGAACCTTGAAATTACATCAGTTATTTCGTGTGAGTAAAAAGTCAAAACATTTCAAAAACGTAACATATTTTAAAAAATATAACCCCTCCATCCGAAAATATGGTATACATTTTAAATTCATTTTTGTCCGAAATTATGGTATACATTCCTCTTTATTTATAAACCAAATTCCGTTAACATAGGTTCATAAATAAAAAAGTTATTCCAGGTGCCCTCTTTTAGCTAACTTAGCCTATATATATATATTTCTTATTTGTAGTGTAGCAGTAACATAACAAAACAGAGTTTACAACTTGCGTTGGCTTTTTTTCATTAAAATGTTTCCATGCATCAAAAAAACGTCTAAAAAAGGAGTCTCATAAATATAATAAATTTAAAGTGCTTTTTCCACAGTCTTAAATTTTACATTATGTAGGTAGTGAATTTGAAGTCACCAACGAAACTGTAAAAAATGTCAGTTAATAATTTTAATATTTTATAAATTAACACGAAGTGAATCTGGAGGTGAAGTTACAAATTGTGGGATTTTACTGTCTGTAATAGTTTTACTATACCTAATTGGCTTTTATGTTCAATAAATTAACCTGCATGTGCAGAAAACGACATTTATAAGCAGTTTATTAAAATCCACTGTCAGCACTATATATCAATTAAATTAAATTATAATTAATAACAATTTACTTTCAAGAATAAATTTGAAGTTACTGCGAATTTAATTATTATGTTCGTATAAAATAATATGTATACTCATTGTGCATTGTTATAAGAACTGATTTTGCGTTTTTTTTTGTGTCGATGGTGATTTATTGAAGTTTATTACTAACTTACACAAACGAAAAAAAATTTTTTGATATCTACAGAAATAAAACACAACTACAGACTTCTTTTTTTTTTTTTGAACTGTGACAACAGAATAATAATAATTTTTTTACTATATTATGCATTTTTTTTATGTGTATTGTTAGTTTGAAGAGCCTCTTTGTTCAAATTGTGTTCAGCCAATATTAACAGAAAGCAAGAAACCGCGAAGAAATACGGTCCACCACCACACACGATTTCATTTGGTGATTTTATATATCTTAGGTATACTTAATTAAATAATTATCATTTTTTTGTCTAATGAGTTTTAAACTTGTCAATGAGATATTGCTACATTTTTAATGCCCACAAATCCAAATTGAGTTTAAAAATGCAAACTAGTTGGATAAAAATAATATTAATAGTTAATACTATTTATTATTGTATAACTTAAATGATTATGATCAATAACTTCGATTAAATAACTTTATATTAATTTAGAAATTACAAGAAATCTTATTAATCGTTCAACACTGAGGTATGATGATGCTTTTGTTCGACACTTTCGGCATTGAAATCGAGAACCGATGAAGGGATGATGCATTTCAGTGGGAGTGAGAAGCAGTGTTCCAGTGTCTCCACGTCTCACTTTTACTCCCTTGAAACATACGTAACTATTATTTAATTATACATATATTAATTGTCTTCAAATTTTAAATTACCGCCTCTGCGGACATTCTAGGCGATTAATTGAATTTATTACAGTAATTTCTAATTTTGTATCACGTGTTACAACCCAAAATAATGTACATGTTGTAAACCTGAAAATAAATTTCCTTACACACCATTATTTTGATTACGTAATGCTATTAATTCAATACTCGGATACAATATGCTAAACTACCGTCCGCGAGTGTTTCGTCGTTAAGTGCAGCAGTTAATTTTATCGGAAGAGTAACATGGACGTAATGTCGTGTGGATGTTTATTCTTTTATGAATGTGTTATGTGTATATCCGTCACGGTAATGAAATCTGACCTCTCCAACGACGAACGCATTGTAGCGTGCATAATAAAACAGGTGCTCAAATAAAGCAGCTTAAACAGTGATTTCACGTATGTTGCAGGCGAAAACATGGATAGCGGCGATTGCGAGACCGAAGAAGACTCTGCACCAGAGGCGTGCGTTTCTCCCGAAGGTTCTCTGTTGCCAAGGTAAGTGTTGTTACGCCGCTGTGACGCTTGCTTATATCCGCGCACTCAGTCGCGATTCAAACGACGACGTAGTTGTTTGTGTACGTGTGTGCGGCTGTTGTTGCAAATAATTCCATATGAAACATTATCCGGAACATCTCGCACGATAACGCGTTGTGGGTGCAGTCGTGTAAATGTCATCGCCTTGCGAATTCTACGGTAACCCCATCGCCGGCATGTCCAACCCGTGGTATCCGCCTCTAGGGCCGTCCTATAACCTTATGGCAGATCATCCTCCCAGGTTAGTTAGATTCCAGCACATTTAATTAAATTATGCGATCATTATGACCCGAAGTTCATTACAATGTATTTATGGAAACCCGTGGACGGCCGGGCATGTAAATGCAATTTATAATCTGTAGGAGAGGACTAGTTGTTACGTTGCCGTAATCTCTTTAGTGTTTTTACTTTAAAATAGAGAGCTCCGCTTATCATTGGCCTTCGTCACTAACTATGCTCCATTGTGGAACGTACTTTAAACATATCAAATTCGTAATAAATATGTGTTATGTGTAGTATTTTTACGTTTACATGTAACAATCTGGCATCGATTGCGTTTCTATAAACAGGCATTTTGACATTTGTATTTTATAAATAGAATTTTATTATATATAAACCACAAACTTAAGAAAACGTTTAATTTCTTTAAACTTTTCTGCAATGTTCGAGATATCTGCTATCAAATATACAACTTTGTATCACCAAAGATAACGTAACAAACCAATTGAATTGATGCGCAATAACGACATAAACAAGTTTGTTACCGCTTAGAGATATTTTAAAATTAAATAAATGTAATGCTGATAATGGAAACTGCATTTTAACCCACCGCGAACACATTTTTTTCTAATACCAGGCAACATTGTTATTAACAACAATTAATGGATGTTTATTATACCAATTCTAAAAAGAACAAAACGTATGAAGTAAACATCTAATTAATGTTTATTATACCTATCGTACAATGTTGCCGTGTACATTTCTAGCAAATTTACAGTAACTTGCAGTTAGAATAGAAGTTTAAACAAATTGCCACGCTGCTCTACAATTTATTTCCTTTTCCTCAAAATATCTCGGCATTCAATCACTCGTACATGATACAAAAGAGAGTAAATTTTTCTCTCAATTAAATTTGTGTAAAATTTTGGATGAACACTACATAAACTGTCGTCATCTTGATCCGTGGAATATGTTCATAAAGCTTTATAAATTGTAACATAAGATAAGGTAAAAGAGGTCTCCTGTTTCGATGTATCTATCGTCTTGTCTTCTATTGGTGATATTGACGTTATTAGACGGATAATCTTCGAAACCACTGGATCGATCTTGTAAAATGTGTGTAAAAATTTAAACATATTTAAGGTTATCCTGTAGTTGATAAAATTGAAATAAAATTTGTTTCAGCATCCCCACCAAAAATTTTTATAAACGTCACCAGAAAATTTTGTCAAGTCAATTTTGTTTAAAATGTATAAAATAATGCTTCCATTTAATAATCCGACCCCATTCTTAACCTTATACATGTAGATTTTTGGAAAAAAAATATAACACAATTTTTACTTCCCGAGCGTAAGCTAAGCAAGGAAGTATTGAAATCAGGTGACTGGCTACTTTCATATTTTCTCGATGTGTCATGATCCCTAGAATACCAAAAATATATCTCTCTTTCCGTCTGTCTGTCCGTCCGTCCGCGGTGTGTGTAGATTTTTGTTACACAGATAATTCCAAAACTACCGTACCGATTGTTGTCAAACTTATGCGTGTATTATTAATTTCATATACATAGTAAAACGTTAATCAAACTTTGTCTACTGATCGCCACCATCAAAAGTGATAACGTCAAAATTGTACATAGTAAATGGATTTTAAATTGTATAAAGTAACATAGTTCTACACGTGTAGTTTATGAATCCAGTTTTTTTGGAAAAAAAAATCAAAATAGTATAACATTTTGCAATTTAACTTTTAAACTGCATAACCGAATGCTCTGAAATCTTGTAAACATTTTAAGGTTATCGTAATCATGGTAAATCGTTAATCAAAAATTAATTTAAAAAATCAAAATTTATTCGATTATCCCTTCCAAAATAACTAATTACGTTTTCTCAAAATTTTGCCGAATCAATGCTCTCTGAAATATGGAAAATATTAACTCTATGCTTGTGGTTTATCAATGCACCCATAGTTTTTTAGAATTACTTATACAGGTGACTCAAAAAAAGTAATGAATAAGGCAATTTATTTTATTAATTAAATCAAGATAGACACACTGCATGCTGGCGAAAATTTGGGAATACAGTATTGTTGTAGTATTACACTGTATCTATTCAAATTGATATATGTGTCCTTGTAAAAATATTCATCACAAAATTCTGTAATGGGAAAACTCACTTGAAATAAACGCGTAGGACGCCCCTTTGTATTTAGTTTAACATTACAAACATATGTTTATTTCAACTTACAGGGGTTCTCATAAAAATAAAATTCGCAAAATCAGATTGTTAAATTTTGGAAAATGCTGGATGTTTTATTCAACTTCAGGGGCGAGGGAAGTTCTGCCGAAATAATCTTCGGCATTTTTTTTTATAAAATTAAAATAAAAAATGTATGTAACGTTAAAGCAAAGGTAAAGAAGCGTGCTGTGTGTATGTTTCACGTGAATGTTTCCATTACAAAATTTTGTTATGACGTGATCAACATTTTATCAAGGACACCTCTATCAATTTATTATTTTTAATTTTTTATGTATATTTACTTAGACTTGCAATACCACTTTTAATTATATCGTACTTGCTATGCTTGCACATTGTGCATTTGTTTATGTCCGGTGTAAAACGCATAATAACAATACTATATAAGCAATTTAGTTTAGTTTAGTTTACTGCCAAAAATACACCATACAGACAATTTCGGAGATTAAAGAAACACAACATCGTACAAACGTTTAACTGAAAGTATGTACTACACAACATATTTAGTACCTAGTCTACTTAAGTAAAATATATTCTTGTATTAATTATCCTAACTTAATAAATGTATAAGCGATCTGTATTTAAGGAATTTTAAAGAAAAAAAAAGATGGTAAAGAATTTAAAACACGCACCATCTTAGTAAAAAACTGTGAATGCCATAGTTAATTTGGTCTGAGTTGATTTCTGATAATATACCTATGTGGTGATTCGGCAGCCTTATTTGAAAAGAACTTTGGTGGCATTTTTCTGTCGTGACTCCAGTGATTGTAGACACAGTATCTCTTACGGTTCTTCACAGGTGTACACATTTTTGTTTATGTGGAGTTTAAAAGGTAAAAACTTCACAAACTTCCTTTGCACTCTTTCTACACGTTCAATTGAACACGACAAAAATTGATCGAAGGTTATTTCGACAGAACTTCCTTCGCCCCTGAAATACAATAAAACCATTAAAACAAATTCAGCTTTTTCGAAAAATTATAAAATTTGATTATGCGAATTTTATTATTTTATGAGAACCCTTATAAGTTAAAATAAAGATATGTATGTAACGTTAAAGTGAATTGTAAAGAAGACTGCTGGGCGTACGTTCCAAAGAAGTTTTTAACAAAATTTATGATGACTTCATCAACATTTTTACTTTGGATAGATGCAGTGTAATACTAATGGTAAGTCTTATATTCCCAAATTTTCGGGAAAAGGGAGTGAGCCATTCCCGATTTAATCAATAAAATAAATTGACTCATTCATTAATTTTGATGAGTCACCCTGTATAAGAAATTTAAAAACTTTTATTGCAATGACAAATCACAAGTATAGACTCATCACATTTTGCACATTTTGGATAGGATTTATTCGGTAAAATTTTGAGATAACGTCATCAATTCTTTGCGAGGGGATAAACGAATAAATTTTGGTTACGATTTTCCAAGATTATGATAACCTTAAGATACACTGCCCGACCAAACAACCCGGACACTTGGTTGAGTATTATTACTTTTTTTACTTTTTTCTGTTTTCACATTTTTTACAAATGTTCGACCAGTTGCAAGTAATCATAAAAAGTTCAAGTGTACAAGTTTTTTTGTCTGGCAGTGTATTTACAAGATTTCATAGCAATCGGTTTTTCAGTTTCAAAGTTATATTGCAAAATGTACTTAATTTTTTAGTTTTGAATTTTTTTTTTTTAATTCCGGATGTCTAGGGTGAAAATTCGACACGGATTCACATACCACAAACCCAGGCGTATCTTATTTTATAAGATTTTAAAAAACTTTTTATTATAAATTTTGGAGATGAGGCCGCCCCATTGGTGGTGGGGATGATTAGCCAAATTTTAGTTAGCGTTTAACCATCCATGAAATATGATAACAATCGGTCCAGTAGTTTCGGAGATCAGTTGTCTAATAAAAATGGATACAGACACTAAACAGACAGATAGACGGAAACGGGAAACCACTTTGTTCGTACTCTGAGTTCTAGAGGTCATCACACGTGGAGAAAATATGAACGTGGCAATTCGGCCGATGGACTCGATTACTATAGTCTTTGCCATTTCTAGTGAAACACCACTTGTTAATCGTAAATTTGGCAACGTTCATATTCATACAATTTTCTAACTAAAAGCCCTTATTAATAAACCGAAAGCTGTTACCAATTGCTAAATTTTAAGCAAAATCAACAGGTGGTGTTTCAGTAGAAATGGCAAAGACAGTGTTCAAGTGATAATCTCACAATTGCACAATACAACTTAATTACTATAATTACAACTCGTATATTTTTAAAATTTTTGCATTGACGCTTAATAAATTCACACATTTTCATTTAAGAACTGTGCTTATTTCTTAAACACAACACCAAGATTGTTAACCAAATCGACTTACTTTATCTCGTTATCATATAGACAGTATTGAGCGCTTATTGGATTCTTGCCTTCATGAAAAGTGATAATTATATATGTATCATAATTATTAGTCAGTAGGTTATTCA